TTAACTAAAAGTCGTTTCCCTTACCGAAAATAACTTTTTTCTTTTATAAAAAGCTTACATTAGTATATTTATTGAAGAAATACAATAATACAGTCAGAGGGAAGGTGTTTTAAACAATCTTTTATGTAAATAAACATTTTATAAGCAGATAACCTAGCAAATTACCCAGTCACTAATCATAGATGTGCGATAGGTAATAGTCACGGCCGACCGTATCACAATGGGAACTTACAGTCACCACTCGAATGTTTCCGAATACGTTTGTACAGTTTAGGTTTCGTTCGTTTGACGTGATACCCACTCAATTGTTGTTTTTTTATATAATGTACGTAAGAATTGTTTCGATCATGGGAAAATATACATATGATTAGGTTTCTTTTTTATATTAGGTTATTTTATAGATTACTCGGCGGCTATTTCTTCGTCATTTTCGTGGGAAATTACACCTTAACAAAATGTAAGTGTAAGTTAGATTAAGGTGGGAAACAATTATCTCCCTCCCTTCCCCCCGAAATATTCGATAAAATTTTGGGTAGCACCATCGCTGAGCTTGCACGTCACCGATGCATGTAGGTACATCTCCAAACAGCTTGCCGTATTATTGTCTGTTTCATATATTATAGACCACCGCATATTTTTTCAACGTTCGAAAACTATACTTCATTATCATTTCAGCGCCCAACATATATGTATACATATGTATAGCTGTTAAGTTGTCACCTCAGTGTCGTTGGTAAGACGGACTCACCTCACCNTTGTGTCAGCCCAATCACATATTGTGTCAATACTTATCATTTTATCGTAATTTAAAAACTTGGAAATTGCACAGTACACTATAGGAACTACGATAAATATTCCCTAATCGGCGCCATGGTTTTAGGCTCCTCCCATTTGACGGATCCCAATGTGAAATAAATAGAACAGTGAATAGTAACAGTAGTGTAAATAAATAGAATAATTACCTAAGTTTAGTAATAATTTTAATAGTGTTTTTAAGTTCAATAATAATTAGTGTAAATAAATAGTTTTCTTCTTAAAAGTTAATTTGTTAAGCCCACGAACATTACAATAGGAAGTCTAAAGGAGAGTGGTGTGTGAATATTGACATAATATTTTCAACAGATTTAGGAGATAAAGTTTGATAGGTAATTTGTAAAGGAGCATGCCTACCAGTTCTAAAAGAGTTCAAGAAATAGAATAGAAATCTCTTTGATTTAAAAGTAGCTGATGAAATATATGTCAGTTTCGATGTATTCATTANAAGTAATAATCGATTGTTGATTATAAGAAAATGCATAATTGATTATTGCGATTAATCGGAATAATTGATTAATGGGAATAATCGATTATCAACATCGATTATTTATATTATTTAATATGCAACAATATATTAAATGACCAGCATTCACAACTTTCTCTCCTTCAACGAAATTACGGCTTTTTATTAATGAGTTCAAGAACTCCAAAATTTCACTCAAAGATAAAAACATTGCTTCAAAATTAACTTGTAGCACATATTTTCATATGGAAACGTATTTGACCCGATGGGATTGATTCAAATTATTGTCACGGCGTGTCGCTACGATGCCTTTTACCAATGTTCTTATGAAAGAAAAACTTAAGAAAGTTGTGCGACACATTAAATAATTAAATAAAACTAAACGACCACACTAACTTGGAGTTTGACATCACTATCAGTTGTTTCACATAGCTGCCACCGATTGACACAATGCGCGCGGCAAATATCACTCAACACAGATGCATCGATCGGAATTATATTGATATACTAGCTGACCCGACAGACGTTGTCCATATTGAATTCAATATTGTATAATTAATAAAAAGAATATTTATTCAAAAAATAGTGTTTATTATTCTAATGCTCTATGATACACAACATTCTTAGTTTTAATTTTTGGTGCGTATATAAATAGTTTTGTTGGTATACCTACACGAGAACAGACGACATACAACTGGCCATTTTTGATATTAATACCATAAACACATAGATTGCCCTTGCGATTTATTTATCTAATGTTCCGGATAACTTTCTAAAGTTTTTTTTATAAGAACCTTCTCCTGATAATAGAAATACAACAAAAAAAGAATTAACGAAATTGGCCCAGCCGTTCACGCATCATACAGCATTAGAATAATAAACACTATGTTTTTGAAAAGTTATTTTGGTAAATGTCTAGATGATGGTGAGTGGGATCGAAAGAGGAGGTCTCCCCCACCACTATACCATAAAAGTTCATGGCGGTCTCACCCCCATAAAAAGTTATGGGGGTCATCTAAACCTTTACCGTTATTTTATTTATTAATTATACCAATTCGAATTCAATATTCATAGTATAGAGTTTTATTTGTATTAAGGATTCGTGCTGCAGCAATGGCATAAAAGCGGTTTTTTTCAAGAACGTTTACATTCTTGCTAAAAAATATATCGGAACTACCGTAGCCGCAGATCGGAATTTCGATCTTATTCGTTCTCATCAGCTAAGGCCTTGTCTAGGGTTTAAAATACCTCAGTTGCTGTTGCAGCTAATATCTAACAGATACACTGTATTCCCTGTATTTGGATTTGGATATTATATTTTTCAAGTTGTATTTTTTTGTCTGCAATAGTTAGGTGCATGGACAAAACTAAATTTTTATGACAACGCAAAAATTACCATTTTCGATTGTAAGTGACTGAATTTGCCGTAGAAATAGTAGAATTTATTAGGTAACTTGCAATAATCTCTATTTTGACATGTTTCTTTAAAAATTATTTCAAATGTGTAATATTTAGTAAATTTATTTCTGCTGGGATTCTATTTTTACAAATTCGGGTCCAAATTGTAATTTTTATTATTTTCGCTTAGGAAGCAACGGGCTAGTGGGATAAATTGTAAAAATTGTAAATTGTAAATATCGCTTTAATATTTAGGTTTCGTTTTCCATTTTCTCCGTGTACTAAATGTCTGAAGACAGTTTCTTTCTATTTTCTGTAAGATTTTGTTTATGATTATTTTTGTTTCAATTATATTGAAACCAACCAAAAGTATCTAAATTTTGAATGATTATAGAATATCTTACTATCGAATTCCTTTCCGCCCTCTCCTCAGTCCCGGTCTTAATGGCCCTGCTTTGTACTTTGCACCCGGCCCCGCAAAGCTGATCCGATTCTCCGTTGGTGACTATAGTAATATACATATATATTTTTTGCTTTTAACAAAACTTATAAATATAATAGGAATGCCAATATTAATTAAAAATGCATGCAATCGCGAAAAAACGTTTTTCATACAAATCCATGCACAGCTTTTGTTCTGAAGCTATAGGTAATTCATAATCCAACCTGAAACGACGACCTTAAGGTTCCTGGGCATTTTTCAGTGGTTCTATTTAATATTTTTGTGGCTCTTAAGATCAATGTATTCTTAACATTAATAGTTTAAATTTAAAAATTTCTAGTAACCTTAAAAGTCGCAGTTGTAAATAGTGATTAACAATTACCTAATAACTTTTTTCTTTCAATATCTACTAAATCTGACTGATTTCGTGTACCATATCCATCAGAATATCTTAATTAATGCAAAAAAATCAATTTTAATGAAAAAAAATCCATTACCCTTGAAAGTTTAATGACTAATTCGAGGAAGAATTAAACTTATCACTAAAAATCGATAATTGAGATACTAACTGTTTTTGTTACTAGTGATTAATCTTTAACATTAAATCTTGTAACAAATAAACAGTAATTGTGAATATTAAGCTAGTAAATAATGAATTTCAGACAATAGATAACAGTTAATTTTAATCACTTATTCATATATTTACCGGTTGCCAAATGATTCCTAAAATTCAAATGTTATTGTATAAGTAATACAATCTTTTTATTAAATCTTAAACCACGATGTTAAAAATTAATTTCTAAGTCAAAATAAAAGTTTAAGTACAAAGTTATGGAAAATTACATCAAGATACATGTAATGACTGAATACGACTTCAGTAGCAAGGAGCATGACATATGTCAGCACCATCGTTGAATAAGTAGATACATCTAGAGTTGAGCAATTATTAAAAGTAATAATCGATTGTTGATTATAAGAAAATGCATAATTGATTATTGCGATTAATCGGAATAATTGATTAATGGGAATAATCGATTATCAACATAATCCGTTAATCGACTATTTCTAAAACTAAAAATAGTCGATTAACAATAATAGATTAATTGGATGATTTACCTAGTGGATACTTTACGATAAATAACAAATAACAATAATACTTCACTGCTCGCTTAGCTACAGATATCAACTGTCATAATTTATAGTAACATATTCATAAAAATACAGAAAATTGGATCCTTTCACTTAAAATAGCGAAGCAAGGGTGCACTTCTTTTGGAACTGAAAATGTCACAAATATATTCATTAAATAGATCACTTCCTTGCGGAAGTGTATCGAGTATGATAAGTGAACGGTTTAAATCAATCACCTTATGCATGATAAGTAATTAATAGTATTATTTTGTTAAAAAAATAATAGTTTTCTACACAAAATATGTATAAATTTTATAATCTATTCTGTCTCAACTATACACTGCTGTTATTATTCGTTTAAGATTTGATCCATTCGAAAAATGTTCAGTAAAAAACTGTGTCATTACGTACAATGACACGGAGCTTAAAAGTGCGGATTTAATCATTATACATCTACAATGGGTAAAAGGTAGACATGAACTTCCTTTGCAAAAAAGAAAAAAGGATCAATTCTGGGCCTTCTTAACTGACGAAAGTCCTTACCATACTTTTGGAAATAATAATGTTCATTTGCGGGACTTTAATGGCGTTTTTAACTGGTCAATGACTTACAGGTAAGACAAATGCATATGACATAGATGCACATGTACTGAGTGATTAATAATGAATGAGATGTAGGATACTGTATGTAAATAATGGACATCAAAGAAATGTCATTTAACCGCATATATCTAAATTAAATATCCATTCATAGTGAATCTCAAAATATAATTCAGATGCTTGAAAAACTTATATATTATATTCACCCATAACAATACTTCCTAAGAAGAAATTGAAATAGAAATTGCAAAATATCAAATAGTTTTCTACTTTAAATGCTTAATGTCAAATTGTTTTAAAAGATGCATTGTAAACATAAAATGCAAAGAGGGTGCCTGTTTTGAAGTCTAACCTTTTATGAAAAATTGCGAAATAGCGCTAGTGAGTTTGAAACAAGCGGGGAATTTGCAGGCATTATTGCTATAAAAGTAAAACAAAAATATCCGTACGCAAGAGAAAAAGTGAATGTAAAGATAGGGAACGAAGGATTAGAAGAAGTTGATTTTAGGTATCTAGGAAGTTAGATAAGTCAGGACGGAAGGAGTAGTCGGGATATAAAGCAGAAGATAGCGCAGGGTCGAGTCACCTTCAATAAAACGAAGTCACGTCTATGCTCGCGAACGATTAATTTAGAAATTCGAAGAAGATTGTTAAAGAGGTTTGAAGCGCGGCGCTGTATGGATGCGGAAAAGAAAAGGTTAGAAACGTTCAAAATGTGGTGTTGCCGGGGAATAATGAGGATACCGTAGATAGAGAAGGTTAAAAATGAAGAGGTATTAGAAAGAACAGGAGAACAGAGGACTATCTGGAAGTCAATAAAATAGGCGAAATAGGTTGGTAGGACACCTTCTTAGGCATGAAGGTCTAGTCAGAGACATATTACGCTATAACTCGTACATTATATAATTGAGAATATCAATCATTTCTTGGCGAAGGTAGCTTGTAGCAGTATTTTTTGAACGGCTTCTGGGTATAAGTAGTATTCATCATCATAAGGTCGCTAGTCCTAACCTCTACTTTTTCCTATCCTGGGCTAATTTTCACATTTCCCTAAAACCAGGACATCCCATACCCTTAACTATTTGTGAAGAGTAATTTAATCTTAACTCCTGTTTTGGCTTCTAATATGTCTCCAACAAGCCCTTTATGCCTGAGAATATGAACGGCCTGGTGTAAACATACCTAATACTGCCCGCATTTCTTGTTTTTAACGTACCGCTCATTAAAGGTTTAAATAGATTACATCGACCTATATAGGTTTTATTGGCCGGCTTCAACTTCTTAGCTAAGGGTTCTGAAACGTTTTTTGGAGTAGAGAAAATTAATAAATAAGTTCTCAACACTTGCTAGATCAAACCACGGTTGTTGTGATGCATTTACTCAAACTGTACTACGCATGCGCGCACAAACACGGATTAACACACATACAACGCAGAGGCCCAAGCAAACTCTCACTATGGCTTGGTAAACACGAGTGGAGGGGGTACGATGCAGAGCACAAAGACAGCCACGAACATAAGAAACACTGTATAATGCTTCCTATATCATTTTCTACTACGTTAAATCTTATGAATTTACGTGTTTGTCTCTTTTTCCTGTCGCTTTTTCGTTTCATCGACTTTCAAATCACAATGATGCTAAAGAAGTTTTCACTTCAAAATTATACAAAAGTGAGAACGAATATGCCTCAATCAAATTGTTTCATTTCAGCAGCTGAAAAGACTAGCTGCACAAGTCGGTTTACAAAATATCAGGTTTTTACGCTGTCGTTTTCACTTATTTAATTCGCGCGGATAGGAAGTGATAAAAATAAGAATAATAAGCATTAAGTAAGAAATCAAAACAAAAACTTCCACAGAACTCGAGCCAAGTCAATCAGGATTATGGTTTCAAATTTCCATTTTCAAGAATACTGTGATAACTGAACGATTTGACATCAAAACAAAATGGCGACAAAAGAAAGTTGTGAAGGTACTCAACCCTAATTTGGTCACCCTGTATTTATAAAATAACATTTAAAAGACAAAATTAAAGTAGGTATTTTACAATTTGTATTTACAGTTTAGATAGAATTGAAACAAATAGGTTGCATCTTTAACTACAGATACATTTCTATTGATCATCGTAATAAGGTTGAGACATTAAAGTGGATTAATAATTAATTGTTACCACTAGAGATAACCTCACAGTAGTGAGGAAAAGTTATTGCTGTTGTCACGCTCTCGCCGGGAATCGAACCCGAGCCCCTGGCTTTTACGCACCACTGCTCTTACGATTTGCGTAACTACGAAGGTCACAGAATCGTCGAACCTATGTATAATCATTATAAACAATGACATTTTTTTAGAAGATTTGTTTAGGTTTTTCAATATATTTAAGCGAATTAATTTTTACCACTACGGATAACCTCAAGTTAATGAGGAAAAAATTGTTGCTTCTGTCACGACCTCGCCAGAAATCGAGCCCCTGACCCCTGGCTTTAGGAACCATTGCTCTACCACTAACCTACGAGAGGTGAGTGCGTAAAACCAGCGACACCGATTCAATTCTCAGCGAGGTGACAAAAACGACAATTTTTTGTTCCTTAATTTGAGGTTATCTGTGTGGTAAAAATTAGTTCAAATATTAATTTCTTTATTGTAGTGAAAGCGCTGCAAAAATTATTTTAAAAAGGTCTCAAAGTTGAGACAGTTTAATAATTATTATTTTATTTGCCGCAAAAAAGTTACAGTTAATTTTTTAGAATGGATTCAGATATTCCTGTACCCTACGGACGTACTTTACCCCTTCGAGATAACGAAAGAACCGAATTCGATTTCGAGAAATGGAATGCAAACAGAAAGCAAGATGTACTTATAGCAATATTATCATCAAATTGTTACCCTATTAATCACAGATGGGGTTACGTAAACGAGTTAAGCAAGTACATACGAGTAGACACATATGGAGGATGCGGTAAATTGAAGTAAGTAAAATAGGTACCTAGTGCTTTCTATTACTTCGTTAACGAATGAATATAAAAACAAAATCAGTTACCACTGACTCAAGACTACTGTCTGAATACACTGATAAACTGCAGGTAATTTCTGTTTAGCCAGTATACAGATAGGTCATCTCCTTTACCCTCTAACCTCAGAAAGATTTTATATAAACGATGATATATATACCTATATCTGATTATTGGCGCATTGACGATTTTTTACAAAATCAAAATTTGAAAAACTTTTCACAAACTTAAAAATTGAAAGGTCAAATCAGTTATTGCAGGAAAGTATTCCTTTGACAATAATCTCTAGAAATAATCTCCAAGTTTGTAATTTTGAAGATATTCTTTTTACAAAAAGGTTTTATAGTGTAGATCATGAACGGATTAACAAAAATTTGTAAATTTCGTTATGTACTTTCAAAGTCCTGGAATTTGTTCTCAATAAAAGGCGTCTAATTTTAATTTTGTAATAGTTTACAGCTTATGGTAGCAATATTAAACTTCTTTTTCAAATTAGCGAGATTTTTGAAATGTGCGAACGAATTGTAAATGATTCGCATGAACCAGTTTCAAAATCATGAGTTATCCTGTCAATATACGGCTGGAACTCAGTTGAACTATCAAAATCGTTCTGCACTAAAATCCTTTTCGCTGAACAAATATCTTCAAAATTACAAATTGGAGATGATTTCTGGTTGCCAAAGGAAGGCTTTCCTGTAGTAGTTACCCTGACCATTCAATTTATAAGTAGTTTTGGATCAACATATACTTGTTAAGAGTTTTTCAAAACTTAATTTTGTGAAAAATAAATACCATGCATCTCTAATTGTTGTTAAATGCAAGCACGTAGCCAAGAGGGGTGAGCTGAAGGCATTGAAGCAAAATGTATATATAGTTTTGTTTATTTTATAACATAATTCACTAGTTAGTAACGGGATATAGTTAGTGTGTAGTTAGGATATTGTAGTGTTGCCCAAACGCAAGAACAAGACGAGACTTAGCCAGTCTTGGTCTTGGTCTTGCGCCAATACACCTGGTCTTGGTCTTGGTCTTGGTCTTGGTCTTGGTCTTGCGCTCCCAGTCTTGGTCTTGGTCTTGGTCTTGCAGCAAGAGTCTTGCAAGTCTTGCAATTACCTATTAGTCTATTACTATTTATTAAAGTTTACTTTAAATCCTAGAAAAACGTATTAGTAGTAAAGATCAAGCAGATTAATAAATAACTGAAGATTTGATAAGAAATTCGAAAAATCAACTGACCTATATGTCGTTTTCCATGGAAGTAACTGTTTCTTAATAAACATTTATGATCCTTGCTTTCTACCGCGCCGCCTCGCCACGTGCCGGCTCTATGATAAGGATGCCGCCGCAAATCAAACAATAATATAAAGCGTGTAAAAAAATTCGAAATTATTTTGCATGAGTATACCTACACCCTATGGCGGCAATCAAATAGTGTCAAATGTTATGATTTCGGCGTGGCGGCAACGATTGTTTTAGATTTCAAAAGAAGCCGCCGGCGCGTGTATCATAACCATGTACTTCCGAAAAGCGGCAAATTTCTTTGAGAAGTAAGTACAAAACCTTTGATGCCGCATTATCAAAGTGCCGATGGTTAAAACATAACTATGCATGCACTCAGTTTGATTTTAATAATTTTTTTATTCGCTATGTTTATGGTATTAGTCGTAATGCGCATAGGTCCAGTTTTTCATATTCTTTGATACAGTTTTTTGCGTCTCATAGAATTCCTAAGCGTACCTACCTATACACCGAACTGTTACACCTAACTACTCAGTGAAATAGCGCTAAGTCCTAGCTGCAAGACGCAAGAGTCTTGCAGGCTATGTCTTGTTCTTGCTCAAGTCTTGCACGGTCAGTCTTGGTCTTGGTCTTGCT